CACAATTCCCTGTAACCTTGGTCTTGCACACTTGTCTCCCAGCTATCATGGGCCTCTGAGTTTGATTAGGCTCAGAGCTCCCCATGTCTAGGTGATCTGCCAATGCCTGCAGAAGAAATACAGCAGGGGTGGGGGAGGTGGAGTTGAATGTGTACACACATGGAAATGGGAGACTGTGAGCTCCTGGAGGGCCGAGTGCATGGCTTGTTTGTTCTCATCTCCCCAGCACCCAGCACCCAGCATAGGGCACAGCACCAAACACATTGAACAGATGAGTAATGAAAGACACAACCGTCATTGGAATTCCCCATCTGTCTTCCTGGCATTTCTGGAGTACTCAGCCACTGTCAGATCTCAGGCACACATCAACTAAGCCAGGGAGGAGAGCTGCTGGGAAAGTTTTATATGCCAGGCACAGGTCTAGACCCTTTTTTCCATTGTTCCATTGATGTCTCATAATGATTCTCATAGTGAATCAGAGACTATTCTCTCCCCATTGTACAGATTGGCAAACTAAGGCCCAGAAAGGGTCCAGATCCCTACCTAAAGTCACACAGCCAACAAGAGGCAGCCCCAGGCCTGGCTAACTCCACGGCTCAGGTTCTTCACATGGTATCAACTGTGGGCAGCCTCGGAGGAGAACCCCCTCCCCTTCTTTTCCCACCCCCAGCTCCAGTCCCCGATCATAAACAACGGGGAGAACACAGGAGTGATGGCTTCCCATCCCTGGGGCCTGAGAGACGGGATTTAAGAGGCCATTAATTACTTCCTCCTAATTAAATCAAAATTAAATGCGAGCAGAGGTACGTTTTCCTTATTAAAGACAATTAAATGGACAGTGTGGCTACGCAAATAAAACAAGTCCAGGATTTAAACAGAAAGCAAATCAAATCAGAAGCCTCCCCCAGAATGAGGGGTGTGTTCATGCCTGTGCTACTGGTAAACCAGGAGTTCATCAATTTTCCTTAAATATTAGCAACTTAATTAAATCTGCTCTCCTCCCCACGCTAATCCTGCGATATATCTAAAATAGATCTCACCGCCCACAGGAGTTGGTCATAAGTGCTGACCCCATAATTCTATCTTTTTTTTTTTTTAAAAATTAAAAATCCTACAAAATCCACATCCAGCTGACAGAAGCCCCAGGGGAAATTACAGTTCGGAAAAGGGATTAGTCAGAGTACCCGGATTTTATGGAAATGCTGGAAAGTGGCTCCGAGGGCGGTTTTGTGAGAAGGTGAGGGGGAGAGGTGGGCTGGGGCCGTTGCTGGGGATGGGAGCGGGGAGCTCTTCCTGTGGGGCCTTGGGGACAACTGAGGGGCCCAGCGGTTCTTGTGGGTGCCGACAGGAGCGTGGTGGTAAGTGATGGAGGAGGCGTTTGTAAAATCGGTTACTGTTGGGTGCCCGGGGTTCACTCTGTGGATGGTGCTGTTGCTAAGCTACCTTTGGAATTCGACAAGGATGGATGCTCCAAGGGGCTCCCTGGGGTGGGGGGACCGGGAGACCGCGATTAACTGAAACCATGGAGAAGTCCTTTCTCGCTGAAGATGGAGAGCATGGAACGAGCGTGTGCATGCGCGCGTGTGTGCACGTGCCGCACTTGAACATATTCGAGACTCAGCTGCGAAGGGGCCAAGTGGTTTGCAGCAGCCTAAGCTCACATTCTTAGAGTGGGGGTGGGTTAGCGACAACCTCCCCACTTAGCGGTGAGAAACCAGGATGCCAGGTCACCAAAAGGCTTTCTGGATTTGGGGAGGGCTTTTGTAGCATCCATGTTCATGACATATTGAGGTAGTGGAGCTATCAAAACAAAAAGCCAAACTCATTGCCACTGAGTCAATTCCGACTTACAGTGACCCCGTAGCATAGAGCAAAACTTCCCCCATAGGGTTTCAAGGCTGTAAATCTTCACAGAAGCCACATCTTTCTCCCGTAGTGCAGCTGGTGGGTTTGAACTGCCGACCTTTGTGTTACCAGCCAAACGCTGAACCACTGTGCCACTAGGGCTCCTCGTGGCAATATCAGGTAAGATCTGAAATAACAGAAGCTACTGTTCACCACACACATGCCAGGAGTCAGATGCGGTTCTAAGTTCCTGCCATAGGCTAACTCACTGATGCCTCACCACAACCCTTTGAGGTGGGTGCTACCAACAGCCCCACTCCACAGATGAGGAGACAGACTCAGAGCTTAACTGATGTGCCCAAAGTCAGAGAGAGAATAAGCAGCAGATCTGGGGTTTGAGGCAGTCTAGCTCCAGAGTCTGCCTGCTAACCCACACATTACACCTTTCCTAAAAAATGTGCTTACCTTGGGCACGTGTTTACAGAGAGAAGGAAAGGCCTCCTCCCTCTCTGCACACGGCACTCTGTGGGAGGTGGTTTTGGGCGTCAGTGAGCAGGGGCTCTGGGTGAAAATGATGGAGGAGGAGGGCACAATCCCGATGCCAGTGGACACGTGGGGAGAGGCTGCTGTGAGGAAAGGAAAGACTCCGGGCCATGGCACAATGCCAGCCCAGTAAAAAGAGCCAGACCCATGAGTTGACACCAAGGCATGGTGACCCCATGGGTGTGAATACGAGGAGTGACCAGCACCCCATTGGGTTCTCAAGGCTGTGACCCTTCAGAAGCAGATGCCAGGCCTTTCTTCTAAGGCACCTCTCCAAAAAACCAACCTCACTGCTATCAAGTCGGACCCGACTCACAGCGACCCCTCCTTGGGTTTCTGGACAGTACCTCTACAGAAGTAGATTGCCCATCCTCCCTTCCGAGAAGTGGCTGGTGGGCCTGAACCACTAGCCTTCAGTTAGCAGTCAAATGCCTTAGGCACTATGTGACCAGAGCCCTGTGAAGCACCTCTGGGTGGGTTCAAACCACCAGCCTTCCAGTTAGTAGTCTAGTCCTTAACGGTTTGCGCCCCCAAGAACCCCACTAGGCTCACGTGGTTGTTAGGTGTCATTGAGTCAGCCCCGACTCATAGTGACCCCTCCTTGGGTTTCCAAGGTGGTATCACTATGGAAGTAGATTGCCCAACCCTCCTTCTGAGGAGTGGCTGGTGGGTTTGAACCACCAGCCTTCCGGTTAGCAGTCAAGTGCCTTAGGCACTATGCTACCAGAGCTCATCACTAGGCTCATAGCAGGAGCTTAACACAGTCTGCTCAATTGAATTGGCCACAGAGCCAGGGGCAGAAGGCCTAGTTTCTTGGATTGATTCTGTTACTGTGTTGCTGTGTGGCCTTGGCCTGATTTTCTGGGCCTCTGGGCTCGATTTTCCTGTCTTCTAAGGGGACTTATTAGTGACTTCCCATTGCCAACAGACTGGTTCAAGGAGATGGGGGTGGGGTTGGACTCATCCTGTTGAGATGACAACAGTTACCAGCTGGTTTTTCACACCTTTTCAGCATGTGGGTGGCTGGAGAGACTGGGTTTTCAGTAAGGCCAGCATCCTGGAACCAAGTGGCCTGCTTAGCCTCCCAATTCTCAGGCCTTCCCACTTTCTCTGCCAACCAAAAACTTCCTTGAAAGCTGACTGGCCTTGGCAGGAGCCAGAGTATGGTCCCTGGGCACTGCCCCACTTTCATGGCATGTAAGCAACCTCCACTCCAACATCCCAACTGTTTGCAAGCTGGGCTCCTTCAAGCCTCCAAGGATTTGCATAAACTATGTCCTTGTCCCCATTAGCCTGATGAATTCCTATTCACACATCAAAACCCTGGTCAGGTGTTTTCTCTTCCATGAAACCAGTCAACAGATATAACTTATGGAATGCTATTCAAGGCTAGGTGCTGACTTGTAAGACTTTTTATGCACCGGGGTGTCTCTCCCATTCTGGGGAACCCCTAAATGGCAAAGGCTGGATCTTATTCATGTCTATCTCCCCAGCATCAAGCCTGAACCACAAGAGGGTCTCAGAGTTGAATGGATGAATGAAAGTTCTCAGACCCTCATACCCCCAAGGCACAGATGTTCAACCAGATGAACTGGCATGTACTCAAAGGGTCTAAAAATGAGCTTTCATTCATTCATTCAACAAGCAGCTTGCGAGTAATGTCTGTGTATACTGTGCACTGTCGAGCCGATTTTAATTCATAGGACAGAGTAGAACTGCCCTCGTCGGTTTCCTAGTCTGTAATCCTTCTGGGAGTAGATCATCAAGTCTTATCTTCTACAGGACAGCTGGTGGGTTTGATCCACCAACCTTTCAGTCAGCAGCTGAGAGCTTAACTATTGCACCACTAGGTGCAGGCACTGTGCCAGGCAGTGGGAACATAATGTTGAGCAAAACAGACAGGGTCTAATAGGAAAGACACACATTAATTGCAAAATGAAACAAACATGCATAATTGTTAATGAAGAAGACACAGGGACCTCAGAGGGTTCATATCCAGGATCAGTCCTCGTCTGGAGGTGTGGCCAGGAGAAGCTTTTCTGAGGAAATGGCAACTGAGCAGAGACCTGCAGTGTGAGTGTAAGGTAACGGTGGGAGAAGCCATTCAGGGGAGGAAGCGGCCTAGGCAAAGCTGAGGTGTCAGGAGAGTGTGCCAGGCACAGGAGGGACAGTCAGAAGGGCATGAGGGGGGCAGAGTGGCTGAGACTGAGAGAGAGCTGAAGGTGGGAGATGAGGCAGGAAAGGGAGCCAGCTCTTTGTAGGCAATGGGATGGATTTGGGTTTGACCAAGTGCGTGGGAAGCTACTGAAGAATTTCAGCAGAGTGGGGAGAGTGTGTGACAGGCTCCGATTTGCAAGCTTGTTTTCAGTTTCCAGTGCATCTACATCCAAGGTGATCTGGGTTCACCTACCAGCGCCTTCTAAAATGCAAAAGACGCAGGAAACAGAGTGTGTCGCCCTGTTGTCTGCCCCTGGCCAAACACCACGGAGACAAGCTGGCAGGAGGCTGGGGGCCCAATTTAGGGCACAGGGGAACTGAGGCCCCTCCCATCTATCAGTGGGTGTCCTCGGGGTTCTGGGGGCTGGACTGTGTGTGTGGGGTCCCCACTTTACCTTGCCCACGTACAGAGGCTCGGTGCCCGTGTACTCCTCCACCACGAAGAACTGGTTCCACACCCAGCCGCGCTTCACGCGGCCTGCGCCCGGCGCGCCGTCCTCCCAAGTCCCGGACGCCGACGTGGCGGGCGTGCCCGCCGCCCACAGACGTCCCAGCAGCGGTGGCGGTGGCGGCAACAGCAGCAGCAGCAGCAGCGCGGGCGACAGCGCGGCTCCCGCGCGCAGCCCCCGACCGTCGGGCCGCGGCCTCATGCTTGGCCTGCGCGGGGCCTAGGCCCAGAAGCATGGACGGGACGCAATAGGGCGCCGCCGCTCGGTCGCACGATGGAGCGGCACCACGTCACATGGTGGCCTCTGCGCGGCCGCCGGGGTGCCGCCCCCGAAGGGGCTCCCGGACAGGCCCTCGGCCCTGAACGGCGCCCGGCGGCGGGGGCGCCCGGCTGCAGGGGGAGGGGGC